ATGCTTGGATTAATTTGTTGAATTTTACTATGTTTATCATAAATGATTTACAAACCACCCAGCTTCAGCCTCTTCTGCCTAATTTAGTTATATAATCTTTTCTTGCATGAGCCTCCTATTTTCAGCCTCTGTTTGACCTGGTCTTGACCACTAGCATATGCTTACACTTAGGGCTGTACAGCACAAGTACATTCACTTCCTTCAAGGCTTGGCCCAGTCTCATGCCTAACCTCTACTCCAGCTGTGTTTGCTCTACAATATTTCTCTCAGTCCCAATTCCTTGCCCGGAACTATGTCTCATTCACTGCTTTCAGTCTAGTGCTGATACCAGCTTTTAAAAAAATCACATATTAGGATGAAATAATAATACAAACTGTATCTAATTTGTAACCTCTTGTCTAAAAGTCACTTTTGAGCCTCAGGGTCATGATTAGGACATCTATTATCATTGTAAAACATTTTAGATCAGGATGATGTAAAAGATTGGACTGAATTTATATTCAGTGTGCTTTGAATTTATTGGTTTTTTTCCTTATCATTTCTGTCATTTAAAAGGTGCAGGGGGAGATTGGTTATTTGAATTTTGGCTAAATATAATTAATAGTATACTCATTCTGTTATATCTCTTAGCTATATGTAAATTTATGTATAAAAATGTGCAAGTTTTATTTTTAATTTCCTCTTCTCTTTTTGGTTTTTTCCATTGTTTGCTCCAAGCGTAACTCCAATTAAAATTCAGTTAGCACAAATGTAAGTTGTAACAGGAATCAAGAGCCTTACCTCTTGAGTCCTTAATGTTCATTATTCATTGTTAGCTAGTGGTATCTTTGCATTTGTTTATTTGTTAATGGACCAGGTAGTCTAATTAGATCAACAGCCATAATACCACCAACTGTTAAGTTTGAAATATAGAAATTGATGTCCCATTCATCACTTTCAAACCTGTCTATTTAAAGAGAGAATTTATATGTATATGTTTTATTTGAGTGCATGGGAATATTATTTTAATTTTTAATTCTCAAAGAAGTATTTAAATCGACTATTTTATATTGGTTAGATAACTCATAACTGCTCTCAGTAATTTTATCACATACAGTATTTTGTTTCATAATATGGTTTATGATGAATGTATAGAGTGTTTAAGGGTATTTGTAATTTTTTTAAATTGTGTAATTTGGGTGGTGGTGTAAAATATGCCGATTTTCTTTTCAGAACTGAGAAAATCAACAATGTAGCCATGTGGGTGAGGTTGTTGATATAAATAATGAAGTTAGGACCTCTGACCTGTTTTATATTATTTAAGCCAACAGTCCCCAACTTTTTTGGCACCAGGGACCGGTTTCATGGATGACAATTTTTCCACCAATGGCTGGGCTGGTGAGGGGCGGTACGGCAGAGCTCTGGCCATGATGCAAGTGAGAAGGGAACGGCTGTAAAGACACCACACCACACGCTCACCTCCTGCCCCGGGGTTCCTGAGTTTCCTGGAAGACAAGTTTTCTTGGGGGGTGGGCGGGGTGGCGGTGCTCCGACAGTGATGCGCGGCCCAGTTCCTAATAACCTGCGGACCGGAGGTTGGGGACTGCAGATTGAAGCTATTTCTTTTCACCTTCTTTGATATTTTTGACTGCCTAGACATAGAATTACATGGTCCTCTCTAAAATATAACTATCTACTCGGTCCATGCCAGGCAATGTGCGATGTATGCTCTGGGGGTACAAAGAAAAAGATATCTGACCTCAAGAAATTCCCAGTCTATCTAGCCCGGGCAACAGAGGACTCTGTCTCAAAAAAAAAAAAAAAAGAAAAAGAAATTCCCAGTCTGATAGAGGTGGCAAGCAAGTACACCAAAAGTTACAATCCAGTGTGATAAGTACTATGGATGATATCTATATCTAATACACACAAAAGTATATGGCTCTACAAGCATGCAGATGGACTCCTAACTTCTTTTCCTATGCAGTTTGTACTGTACTGAGTTGACTCTTAAAGATGGGTGAAATAATTAGCAAAGCAACAAAGAGAGGAAATGTGCTCTAGATAGAAACAACAGTATACATTTAGCCATTTGGAATTGCTATTTTTGTCGGTCAAGACAATTAAATATTGGCTGTTTCATATGGTTCAAACTAATGTGAAGGCAGCAAGGGTATGCCAGGCTTGGGGCAGTGCTACTGTTTTGGTATGGTTAAAGGATAGAGTATATTGGAAGAGCAGTCAGAGTTTGAACATCAGTATGGTCACGGCTACCAGATTATAAAAGATTGTAAATTCTTGGCTAAAAATAAATACCCAACCCCATTTCATATTACAGAAATTAATGAGAGAAACTTGTAGATATCAGTCTCAAAATCAAACCGACAGGGTGGGGGTAGGGGACTTGGATAATATGTATTAGATTATTCATAACATGGTTTCTCATCAATAGTGTCATTAATAATGAGCTATAATTAGTGGTATTGACACTAGTGGTTGCAGTATTCTCTAGAAACAAGTTTTCTAAATAACAGCTTATTTAAAGCAAACTTTGAATTTTATCTTTGATACTTTGGTCACCGTCCAACCAGTCTTAGCTCAAATACAATATTCTTTTTGTTTTGTTTCGTTTTTGTTTTTTTTGTTTTTGTTTTGTGTTTCAAGATAAGGTCTTGCTCTGTCACCCCAGCTAGAATGCAGTGGCATGATCATAGCTCACAGCAACCTCAAACTCCTGGGCTCAAGCAATCCTCCTGCCTCAACCACCCAAGTAGCTGGGACTACAGGCTCGTGCCACCATACCTGGCTAATTTTTCTATTTTTTGTAGAGACAAGGTCTCGCTCTTGCTCAGGCTAGTCTCGAACTCCTGACATCAAGTAAGCCTACCACCTCGGCCTCCCAGAGTGTTAGGATTACAGGCGTGAGCCACCACTCAAATACAATACTCTAAACATAACTTAAGCCTTTTTTATTAAGGGTTTATTATGAGCATCAATTTTTGTTCTGTACTTAAATACAAAATGTTATAGTTCATTGTTATTGGGATGTGAGGAACTATTTGACCCAATAGACATGCCCTTAGATTACCTAATTTTTACTCTTGATTTTTATGTTTCTGTCATTTATTACTTAAAGAGGCCTAATGAGCCTAATTATTTTGCATTCAGTTTTCTGGTTAAGAGATGGAGTAAAAAAGGCATGCTTGAGCTTTTTCCTACACCTGTTTGCTATATTTTCACATTTACTTTTGGGTTCATGGATGAAATCTGAATTGTTAAAGTTAATGTAGGTTCAAATAAGTAGAGGTGTTTATAAGTTAAGAATTGTTTTATGTTACCAATTTATTAAATTCATATTATTTCTAATTCTTAAGTATTGGTAAAGATCATTAATTTATATGTTTTTAATATTTGAGGGTAACACAAAGAAATTAACTGGACTCCTTCAATTAGGAACTTTTATGTAGAATTTACCAAATTAACATATCCCAAACAAAGGCCGAAGCGTGTATTCGGCTATAAGGAGTAGGACAAATCACCATTGACTTATCAGATTTAAATTTAGATGTGTACAAATTGCCTGGGTCAAAGGCAACAGAGCCATTTAAATATTACATCTAGTTTCATTGGTTTCAGTGTCCAACATAGTGCCTTGCAATAAATTTTAGATATCCATGATTCCTTGGTTGTGGTTTCCCCTGTGGAGCTTTTCCTAGTTCCTAAGAAACTAGAAACATGCTTAATTGAATTCCCAGAATGGATTTTTCATTTTCAAGAGAATGGAGTTAGTGAAAATTCATCCTGACTCCTTTGATGTTTCTGATTTTTCAAACAATCCAAAAGAGCATGCAGGCCAAGTGCAGTGGGTCACTCCTATAATCCTAGCACTTTGGGAGGCTGAGGCAGGAAGATTGACCCAGCACTTTGGGAGGCCGGGGCCAAGTTTGAGACCAGCCTGAGCAAGAGCAAGGCTCTCTACAGAAAAATAGAAAATTAACCAGGTATGGGGGCACGTGCCTGTAGTCCCAGCTACTCGGGAGGCTGAGGCAGGAAGATCATAGGAGATCAAGGTTGCAGTGAGCTATGATGAGGCCATTGCACTCCAGCGTGGGTGACAGAGCGAGACCCTGTCTCAAAAAAAAGAAAAAAAGCGTGTAACATATATAAAATATACTTTCAACAGGTAACCTATAATGCATAAAGAGTCCCAAGACAAATGGTAATATAAAAACTTTAAAATATGCTGTCCAGTTGTGCTGTTATCATATTTAAATTTTTAAACAAGTTGCAATTTTTGTATAAATGCTAAAATATAAAACTGATGTGTACTGATTAGACATATTTAAGCAGCATATTTTCTTTATTCCTTAATTTTCGGCCAGTGATGTCCAGTTTCCATATTTTAATCCTGGCTTGTTTTTTAAACAGTAAAAAAATATGTTTAGTCTGAACTGATAAGGTACATAAGTTGTTTCTTCTCCAGAGTGAAGTCACCCTGCTGAGAAATGAAGTGGCACAGCTGAAACAGCTTCTTCTGGCTCATAAAGATTGCCCTGTAACCGCCATGCAGAAGAAATCTGGCTATCATAGTGAGTAATGTTCCATTACCTATAGCCTTAGGCTACATCAGTGAAATACTGCCAGAGTTGAATTGAGCTACCATGAAAAAAATGGAGACTGCAGTTCTAATATTTAAGATTAAGTATCAGAATTCCTGTAAGGTTATTATGGAATGGTATGGAAGGGTGTACTTTTTTAGAATCTGGAGAGTTTGTTTTCCTATTTCTGGCTTTTTTCTAGTTATTACTATAGACAAACAAAATGGGTTAGCTGATAATTTAAAATATACTGTAAGTATTAATGGTATTTTGTTTATCTTCTGAGGCTAACACTTTGTCTTAGATTGACAGGGTGAAACACTTCCTTCCCAGCCTCCATTCAGTAATGACGAGATTTTGTTTTTAATCAGCTGTCTTCATTTAACAATATATAGTATCCATTTACAACGTTAGATCCTATTCTTTCTTAAATAATGTCAGCATTGTGCAGTGTTTTTATTGTTGTGAACCTTTATATTAAGCTTTCTAGTTAGTCATAAAAATACTAAAACAGAATCTGCTTGTAAGTTTCCACCAAAATGTTTTCCCCCCAAAATAAGAATCTTCTGTTTTCAGCATTTTAGAGGTTAACTGTGCTTTTTCCTTTTTGTAATGTCCTTCTTTTTTGATAAGATGCACAATGTTGGAACCAGCTGTTACTCTTGAATAAATGGCCAATTTTGTCCATTGTACACAAATTTGTAACAAATAATAGAGTTGGGAATGCATTAGGCAACATTCATAATAGATAACCCACAGCTTTTGTTTTTATGATTTAGTGATATTTCAGGATATTTGTAAATGTGAAGATTGTTTCAACCATATGTATCCACTTCATTTTAATTTGCCAGTGTCAGTAATTCAAAAGAAAGAAACATTTTGTATTGGATGCAAACAGTTCCTCAGGTGCTTTCGATAAAACTTAATGGCCACCATCTTTACTTGTAGTCATTGTAAGCAATTTCATCAGAATGGGCAATATTTTTTAATTTAAAAGATTCAGTAGATTTAGCAACTCTCAATTGCCATATATATTTAGAACACTGATTTTTGTCAGTTTTGAGCATATAAATCTCGGTTATTTGATATCTAGTCATTTTGACAGGACAGTGAAACACATTGTGGAGTAAATTGGAACCATATAGAAATATATTTGGGATTTATATTAACAATGATTGCTGCAGGGATGAGGCCATTATGGTTCCCATCTGACTTAACAACATAATTTCCTATAGAAGCTACTGAGTTCAGCATTATGCATATATGATTTTCTTAAGAAAGCTCTCTTGAATTTTGATAGTTTAAAAGGAAATATACAAATGATTCTATTTTTAGAAGGAAATTAACTCACCTCTTAAATTGTATTCAATTCAAAATTATCTATGATTTTTAATCATTGATAATTTACTCAGTAATCTCAATTTTATCTCTGTTATCCAAGCAATAGGTGCTTAGGAGATACAAGCCAATTATTCATTTTAATAATTGATTTACAAAGATATATGTTTAAGTGTATAGATGTGTAGATTTATATATTATATTCTTCAATAAAATAATCTACATTCATAAATTTTTTATCTGTTTTGAGCATATAAATCTCAATAATCTGCATATATATTGTGCTAATTTGTGAGATACAAGAAATGAAGATGTTTTTGTTGTTTAGAACTATTCCTACCTTTGTTTTTGTCTGGTCGTTTAGATAATCAAACTAAAGTATAGCTCTACCATAAAATTAATTCTCTTCTCAGTTCTCAGGAGATAATTGGATTTTGTAGAAATTTTCGAGTAATTTCTATTTTAAAATTTAAAAATTTTGAAATAAATCTGACTTCTCTTTTAATAGCCAAGGTAGATAGATTGGCTAAGTGAATATTTATATGTTAGAGAAATTCACAAATTCACATTCTTCGTCATGTTGTAGCACACAGCAGTTGTTAATGGTGGTAAACTGTAATACTAGCTAAATCTTCCAAACATTTGTGGAAAAAAAAAACTAAGATTTAGTAGAAATTAAGGAATATTACAAAATCTTGCAGGCAAAGGTGACAATACCAAGTCAACAGTCACAGTGTCTGTCCCACCCAGTTTTAAAACTGAAAAAGTCCCACATCTAGGAAACCACTCAGTGATGACCAACTATGACAGTTGGTCACCTTGACAGTTAAATAATATAAAACCTAAATAGAAAATAAGAGTACATTTTTAATACTTGAGTTCCATTTTTAATATTTGAGTTTAATATTTGAAGAATAAAGCACAGAAGTGCTCTTATCACCACGAATTCGTTTTCTCTAGATCTGGGCATAATTAATTTTGTATTATAGTTGTCTCTATAACCATAAATGGAAAGGAAAGCCTCTTGGGTCCTAAATGAACACTAATAATTCAATAATTTTTATTATTAACAATATGTGTGAACATAGAGAGCTTTGTAGAGAATCAAATAGTCAAACAGCTGGTTTCTTTTAGCTTAAGCAGAACTAAAAGTGGCTCTTTGAGTGCAACATGATTTCCTGTATCTTTCTAGTACTTGTGATTATACCAGTAATTTTCTCCCCTCACCTTCTAGAACTGGACATGGGTGCAGATATATCACATTGTAAAGGTATTTTATACATATATAAAATTTATAATTACATAATTATGAGTACTTGATTCTTTGTACTACCTAAAGATTTGCTTTACCTAATCCTGAAAGTCTGTAGATAAGCACTAGTCCATTATAATTTACTGTTTTGAGTCATTGCTTCTAGGATATATTTACATTTTCTTATACCATTCATCACAAATCAGCTTCTTTATTTTTGAGGGATAGTGTATCTCTAGAACTTAACATTCAAGGAAGGGTCAGCGCATTCTGTTGAAGAGTAGTGGTGAACTAAACAAATACGGCTTTTTAGTATTCTCTTGCGTTAAACTGTCATTGCCAATGTTTTCTTTTCTTTCAACATGTAACTATTGTATTGGCTATTTAAATACCTGAATTACAGATATTTTATAACTTCATTATTGCTTGATCAGAAAGTTATTCTTTCTGTTTTGTATAATTTTTAAAAGATTACTAATTTTGATTTTTTTTATTGTATCTTGAGGTCAAGTTTTTATCCAGGGGTATGGGTTTACATTTATAGCACATTATAAAGAAGACGGCATTCCATCTCATTAGTGTATTTTAAAACCCGCTTTTCAAAATTGCATGGATTTGAGATAGATGACTGAGAATTCCGTAAGAATTACTGTATTTCAGAAAACCCTCAAAATGGGGAGTTTTTTTGAACTAAAGTTGTTCTTGCTAGGTATCCTCCCCCTCCATCGTCTACATTACAAATCGGGGGGTAAGTCTCGCTTCATAAAGTCTGTAGTCTTTTACTAATTGACTTTCAGAATGAGCATCTGGCCATCAGTTAAGCCGGCCAATATCCATTCTCAGATTTGATAGTAAGGCTGCATCTGAACACTGAATGAAGATTATTTTTAATGCCAAGTGGAAAAAGCAAAGTGTAAAAGAATGCATGCAATATGATGCTATTTTTGGAATGTTTAAAAATAAACAAAGCTAAACTGTAATGTTTAGGGATACATACCTATACAGTAAAACTACAAAAAATAAAAACAAGGGGAATGGTAGAAATATCAGAGTAGTGATTACCTTTAGCAAGGAGAGGCACCTCTAGGAAACAGGGGTAGTATTGGCAGTGTTCTCTCAAGTTGGGGGCTGAGTTCACAGGTACTCATGTTACTGTTGTGCCTCATAACTCGCATATACTGTAAATATTTGCACGTGTTGTCTATATCAACTTTTTCACTAAATGAAATTATTGGATTCTACTCTATTAAAATAAAAAAGATGTAAGATTTGTTCAGGCCTAAATATTTAGAATGCCCCTTCCTGAATATCTTTTCAGTTGTAGTATTTAGAGTTTTATATGTATTTTTATTTGAATCCCAATTAATTCATGCAACTTTAACAGCTGCTGGCATTTAGATTCTAAATATTGCTTATTCTCATGTGTAAGCATCATTAGAATCAGGTGTCGTAATCATCCACGGCTGCAGCAGATGGATAGCCAGAATAAATACAGTTCTGGAGAATGCAGAGGGAATCATTTGAAAATATAATCTGTATGTAAAAATTCATTTTGTTTATGTATATGGTAATAAATGCTTTTTTATCTTTTAATAAGAACGACTTGTAGGCAAACCAGACTGGTTTTGTTAAATGATATCTATAAAAGCCTGTCTCCCAAACTCTTACCTCATTTTCTTTCTTAACACTATTTAGCAAATAGTGAAATATTGTTAAATAAAAATTTTTTCAGCTCTATTCTGTGAGGCACTGTGCACCCACATATTTCCGGATGTATGGTTGTGCCTTGCTTTGACCTGTTACAGGTAAAATTGCCTAGTTTGTGACTTATAGTAATAGTTCCTCAATTCCAGTCTCACCGACTTGTCTACATAATCAATTCTGTAAAATACCTTTTAACTTTTTACTCTGTATATTGACTGAACCTAATGAGACATTCTTACAGATATTTAAGAAAATGAATAATTTTTCTTTTTCCCACTCAGCTGCTGATAAAGATGATAGTTCGGAAGACATTTCCGTGCCGAGCAGTCCACATACAGAAGCTATACAGCATAGTTCTGTCAGCACATCCAATGGAGTCAGTTCAACCACCAAGGCAGAAGCTGTAGCCACTTCAGTCCTCACCCAGATGGCGGACCAGAGTACAGAGCCTGCGCTTTCACAGATTGTCATGGCTCCTTCCTCCCAGGCACAGCCCTCAGGAAGTTGATTAAAAACCTGCAGTACAACAGTTTTAGATACTCATTAGTGACTTCAAAGGGAAATCAAGGAAAGACCAGTTTCCATTTATGAGAAATCTGTGGTTGTAAATTTTTTTTTTTACTTGAAATTAAACTTGGCTCTAAAGTTGGTGTGGCAGCAGTTGATGATCAGACTGAACAACAGTTTTTAGTCTCTGGAAAAAGACTGATTTTGCTTTTTTTATAAATATTGTTGGATTTATTAATTTTTCTGTGCTTAATGTGTAAATTGTATTATAATTCATTGTGATTTATTTCACTTTTAATTTGGTGGTGTTTTAATAAATGGGGGTGATACTGAATCTCTCTTCCCACTTCCATTTCTTTTGACCACCCCTTAACCCTCAACTGTGATGGTAGTATTGTTATCATTTATACCAAAGTTCTGCATAGTCCCTATTGACTTTGTAATGTTAACAAAGTCATAAAGCACTAGGCAAGAGAAAGACAGAAATTTACTTTTAATCTTTTTGCCTTTTATTTTGCACATTATGCAAAAGGAAGAACGTTAGAGAACACTTTTTTTTAAGTGAGTGAAAATATGGTAAAAGACATACAGTGCTTTTATGCACATTCTTAAACTAAATCAAGGTCATTAATAATAGTGCATTTTCCTTTTTTTAAGATTTTCAGTAACATAAATTTTAGAATTTTCAGCATTTCAAAAATGACTTTATTTTCCAAATCTTAAATTCAGTATTTTAAACCTATGTTTTGAGGCTAAAAAATATATAAAATATAATATACAATACAGGGTTATCAGATATCTAATAATTTTTGAAATTAGCTCTTGTTGGTTTGGGGGGGGTTTTGTTTCTTTTTTGCAGATTTCAGGTTACAAACTGAGAAGTTTATGCATAATCAAGTACGGTATGGTTGCCAGAAAAGCCTAAAATTACTACTTGGAAAATTTAAGACCGTTTACCCCCATTGTCTTGTACTTGCGAGCTAACTTGTACTTATTCTTGTGAAAGCACTGTCATCTTTTAGTAGCAAATTTTGATAACGTTTCTCGTGGAAAAAAAATCAGTATCTATCTTTAGAACAATGTAATTATAATGTGGGAAGCGTGTGTGAGAGAGAGAGAGAGAGTGTGTGTGTGTGCGTGTGTGTGTATGTCTTCAAATAGTTTATGCCAGCAATCTTTGCTTGAATGTTTAACGATGCCTTCAGTGTGATGCTGGCCAATAGATGATTGCAGTTTAAAATGTCATTACTGTGCAGGCTTGGATAACTAACATTCCATGATGTAGCTTGTTTCTGATGAGATGATTGTAGGTACACTTTTCTCATTATCCAGTCATCTGTGGGATACTGAGTTTTCTAATGTGCCATTATCTATTTTTATTCTGCAATTATGTTCAAAATACAGTACAATATTTTAAAATAGACTAAATTGTTAAACATAAAGTAGTAGATGTGCGTGAGAAAACTTTGTAAAATAGTTATGAGTCCTACCCAGTAGCAACTTCTGGCATTCAAGCAGGATTCCATTATGTAAATATCTGTAATGCATTTATAATAAGTTGTGTAGTTTGTTCTGCATCCATACTGCACTATTTGCTAAAGTCTCAGTGCCATCTCCTAATGAGACTGACATTTTAAAAGTCCGTATGGAATATCCTTGATAATTCAAGGAAATATCCCACCTGCCTAAGTTCCAAACTGGTAAACATTCAAATTATACAAATGACATTTCAGGACTTTTAAGTATGAGGATAATAGGAATTTTATTGTTTGGCTTATTAAAAAAGAGAGCATTTTTAGTTGATAATTCTACTTCTAAAATTTTCTATTTTTAACTGATTTCATAATTTTAAAGTAATCAATTTCTAATCATGATTTTGCCATAGTTATGCTAAGGAGTTATCTCAAAGGCACAAAATATGAATTCTGCAAGAAGGCTCTTTTTTATTGTTGTTTGGATGGGTTAGGAAAAGCCTCAATTTTTCACTCTTACGTCCTTCAGTGCATTTTTCTTTCATCTTATTATTTATGCAAGTTAAAGTTCTTTGGTAACAGAATTCTTGCAACTGTAAAATAAACTACATAGATGTAAGAAGTCATGTAAACAGTTAATGAGCTTACCAAGGTTAGCAAAACTTTTCATTGTAAATCAATCTGTACTCAGCAAATAAAAATCATTATTAGTTGTATAAACACAAATTCCATTTTGACTTTCAGGATGTCACACTACTTCTGTACCTAGCATTTTCAGTCCTTATATTTGCGATGTTACACAAACTGTACTATTTTCTTTTATGTGCAGTTTGCATGAGTAAACCATCAGAGAATAAATTCTATCTTTAAATTATGTTCATAATTTGCTTGTTCTTACCTGTCTTTCATAAAGTAACATCACCTGATAATTTTTTTTCCTTTAGGGCATTTATTACCTAAGAAGAAACTGAGATTCTTTTTATTTCAGTGATAAAATTCATTCCTTCTTGAAGACCTTTTAACTGCAGAGTGCTCAGGCTTTGTTCCTCTTCTCTGCATTCACTTTAATGTCCCTGAAATTCATATACAATGAACCTTTAATCAATGTCCTCATCCCAGGACACTTCCTGAATTTTAGGCTTTGGCATCTCTTGGTGATCACGAAACATAACATGTTAAATATAACATGTCCGACACTGAACTGCTAATCTGCCCTTGCTCTACCCTCAAACATACTCCTCCCACAAACTTTCATAAGTCAATTGCTGACAACGCAATTCTTCAGTTGCTTAAGGTAGATGCACTCCACAGGCCACATCTAACCCATCAGGAAATGCTGTTTGCTTTACCTTCAAAGTAATCCAGAATGCAACTACATCTCACCATTTACACTGCCTTTACCTTGATTTGTGTCCTCATCATTCTTCACCCAATTGGTAGTTGACTTAAATAATTGTCTCTGCTTTCACCCCTGCCCACCACAGCCAGTCCTCAGTACAGCAGCCTGAGTGATACTTTTAAACATAATTCAGGTTATAGCACTCTTCTGCTCAGAATCCTGGAGTGGCTCCCCCATGTCACTCAGTAAGAGCTCAAGTCCCTAGAATGGCCCACAAAGCCCTAAACAATCTGTTTCCCCATCCCATTCTATCTCTGACCTTATCTACCACGTTTTACCAGTGAATGTTTTGAGTGGTACTAGGTGCCATACATGCTCTAGACACTTGAGATACCCCAATGGCCCAAACCAAAACTCTCTGCCTTCATGGAGTTTACATTCTAAAGAGGGTGGAGGGAGGCGTTGGGAAACACAATCAGTAAATAAGTAAATTATGTATTAGAAGTGGTAAGTGCTAAGTGAAGAAACAGACTTTGCTGGAGAACATGTGGAGTGACATTTTAATCTTACCTGTCAGATTGAACCAATCTGAGGAGATGCAAAGAATTCCATAGCTAGTGTTCATAAACACATTCTGCCAATGTGCCTAAGGTAGATCATGTGATGTTTGATAAAAGGTTTCATGAAGACAAGCTGATGTATTTCTGTAACAAATAAGGTTCGACATACGAGTGATGTATTAAAAGATCAAACGCATGTTTGCTTTGTCTTATTTCAGAGGACAGGAAAAGATAATCTCTTGTCTGGTGTGTACTTACTGTTTTATGTAGTTTTGCTAATTCAACATCTGAAACCATAGGATTTGATGCCTGACAATTTTTTTGTGAGGATGTAGTTAGGGGAGAATCCCATTTACTCCCTGGACTTCATCTTAGGTTAATAGACACATGCACAAACACACAAAAAATACCTAAAGAACACAGAGTTATCAAAGCAATTAGTGCTAAAATAGTGACACTTAGAAGGAGTAATTTTCAAATCTGACACTTCTAGATTATCTTGACCACAGAATAGTTACTTTTGCAGCAATTAAAGTTATACCATTTTGTGTCTGTTGTAGTAAGGAAAAAATTATTTTTTAAAACTCCTAATAAATACAAATAAGCTTTTTCTATCATTCTCCCATATGATTTTTTTTTAAAAAAAGTGCAGGTCTTTCCAGATTATTAGTAACTACATATGGAGACTTAGGTGTTCATAGAGTTAATAATCTGGTGTTAAGATCCTAGAGAGCTAACATCCTTCTGTGTGAACAAAAAACTCACAAAATGTAGAATAAAGGCCTATCTGAAGAAATAAATAGTCCTACAATTTAAATAAATGGTGAGTTGCAAATTATATATATTGCCGTGAAAAAGTGCAGTGAAAATGTTTCCAAAATTAAAGGACTTACTCAGAAATACCAAAGGCCATGTGACATTGCAACCTACAATGAAAGGAAAAACATGCGTAGTTTTATTGTAGTAGTCCCAAGCACCAAATCAAGGGTTAACTGAAATAAACTATCAAATATGTCACAGCAATCGAGCTAGAAGGCTTGTGTCTTTTTTCCTCAAATGTAGATGCGAGTTCTTCCAGTGACTTTCCAAGAGGAGAAGGTGTTGACCTCATTTCCATCAGCGTCATTAGTGCACTCTTGTCATGGTCACGACACCTTCCCAGGCCTCTTTATTTGGCATTAGATTTTACATTTAAGACATCATTCCTGGAGATGGAATTTTTTGAACAAAACAGCTGCAGTGATTTTACTAGGCATTACCTCAATTATTTGGGAAAGTATTCCCGATTCTAAATTTCACTTTTAACTGTCAGTTATGTCACACAAGGGTTGGCTTACTTTATTCACTCCCTCTCGCAGTAGATTTTGCTTTCTGTAAAAGTAGACAAAAGAGGACAATGTTCCCCCAAAAGAACTCCTTTAAAAGTTAATTTTTGCTTAATAATTTTTAAAAGCACGTAAATTAAAAAGATGCTATTTTTCATAGCCTGACACAAAAATTAAGCAAAAATTCTTTAATTCTGTTTATATAGCAGAATTTAAGATGATAGCATTGTCTATTATGAGTTTCTCATAATTGGAAACAAATGCATTATGTGATGTTTATGAGGAAATAAGAAAAGTTGTCAGTGCCATTATCTTCAAAAATAAACCCTTTGCATTATCCGTTAATCTATTTGATTTATTTTTTTCCATCAATAATTTTTTGTCTCTGTGTAATTTAAACATGCAGCTAGTTCCTCAGTCTGTTTTGGGGAGGTGTACTTGTTAAAATTCATTGTCACAGCTCTAATTAACATCAATACAAATAAAATGAGTTAAGTGATGTTAACTATCCTAGCATAATTAATTTGGACATTAAAAATTATTCAGATAATTATTGACTTCCCCAATGGCTAAATTCTCAGGAAAATATCTTCTATGTTACATCTTAATTTATTCAACTTAGCTAGTGGTTTCTCAGACTTCCAGCACCATCAGGCAATCTGCTGGATAATAAACAACCATGTCAGTAGCCTAAGTTAACATCCTG